CCAGGGAGAGGAAAAAAATGTACATTTCAAGGGCAGAAAGGGGGAGAGTCAGTCCGTAGGTAGGCCTCCAATTACAGGCATCTGAGGATAGTTTTCATAGGCAATCTGGCGTGGAGGAGAGCGGTCAAACGTTTCTGTGGGAATGTTAATCCTCTGGGACCGAACCGTTGCTAATCTGCGAGACTTTTCTTAAGCCCAGCTTTGTGGATCAAGATAAAGACAGAAAGCGTGTTTTGAGGAAGCCATCAAAGGAAAGCTCCATTTTTTTTAAAAAAAAAAGATCCACTCAGGTTGCTGGTTTCATGCACTCTTCCCAGCTTTGGTGGGGCTGAGGGGGGCTAAGGGGAAGGAGACCCAGGCAGGACTCCAGGGAGACAAACATAACATTAGCTTTCTCTGAAGTGAAGGGTGAAAACCGATACTCCCTCTAAATGCAACCACCTGCCCTTTCTTCTCCGTTGCTCGGGTTTTCTCCAGTTCCAGGGAACAATGAAGGCTGCACAAAACAGGAGACTCTCCAGCCTTTGGAGAGCTCTTTTGTCAAGGTGTGTTACACATTATCCGTCCACGAACGCAAACACAGCTGACTCCAGCTCACTCAGTTAGTCATTTGGGATGTCTCCTGTCTTTTGCGTCTTTGCTCACCCGCAGAAGATTTCTGTTTGCATAGCCTGTTTGTGGGGCTTAACTAAGCGGTGGTTGTGCGTACTGTATTTGCAGACGGGCACGAGACACAGAACGTAAATGAGAAATGGCTAAAATTAGAGTTTCATTTGCTGAAGAGGCCAGCAGGGAATTGACACTTTAGCTGCACGGACCGCAGCTAAAGCGATTCTCAACGTTTGGATCAAAGTGAATCAAAGCTCTTTCTCATTTATTCATCTAGGGCAGTGGTTCTCAACCTTTTTAATGCCGCGACCCCAACCGGTCGTAAGTCGAGGACTAAACCGGTCGTAAGTCGAGGACTAAACAGGTCGTAAGTCGAGGGCTAAACTGGTCATAAGTTGAGGACTACCCAACCGGTCATAAGTCGAGGACTTTCCCTGCCCGGGAGTGCCGCGCATGCGTGGTTCCGCCCCCTGCGCCGGCCGAGGCATAGCTGGCAAGCGGCAGAGACGGAGCAGGCCGACCACCAGCTGGCCCAGCCCAAGGGAGGTAAGGCACCCGCCGGAAAAGGGGGGAAAAAATGGCAGACAAAAAAAATGGCAGACAAAAAAAATGGCGGACAGCCTTGCTTGGCGACCCCCGTGAAATGGTCGATTGACCCCAAATGGGGTCCCGACCCACAGGTTGAGAACCACTGATCTAGGGCCTATATGCTGCTTCGGTCTCTTAACAACTTTCTTTAGGCCAATCTCCTTCTGGCAGGTAAAGACCCTAAAATAAGAACAAGTTCTTGCTAAGGTTGAATTTCGATGGATTTGAGGTTGTCCTACAGGATATTGCATTCGCCACTCAAATATTGCGTCCGCCTTGACCTTATTTTCTTGCCTCTTTCTGTCGCTTTCCTGCTCCTTTTCTTATATTGTTGCGCTGTCATGTTTTTGTTTTGAGAAGCTGGGTGGGGGGGGGGTTGTGCCTTGTTTGACTTTGGACCTCTCCCCCTTCCACTCAATCCAGCCCACTTGACTTCATAGGGTGATTGTAGTAGTGATTAAATGAAGGAAGATTCCCATTAAAACTATTTTTAATCTGCTTAAGAAAAGATGAAATTTAAACCAAACCAAAAGCAAATCCACGAAATAAAGTCTTGAGAGCATCAACTCAGTTCTGGTGAAGTTACTTGACATGATTCGAACTGCAAAACGGCGAAAATAGGCACCACTAGTTAGAGGCAGTTTTTGTACCTTTTATTGTAAGAGAATGTAAGTATCCTTTAGGAATATTAAGGGAAGTGATTCGTTCAGTAGAATAGAATAGAATAGAATAGAATAGAATAGAATAGAATAGAATAGAATATTATGTAATGTAATGTAATGTAATGTAATGTAGTAGAATAGAATAGAATAGAATAGAATAGAATAGAGAATAGAGTAGAATAGAATAGAATAGAATAGAAAATGGAATAGAATAGAATAGAATAGAATATTATGTAATGTAATGTAATGTAAATAGAATAGAATAGAATAGAATAGAATAGAATAGAATAGAATAGAATAGAATAGAATAGAATAGAACAGGATAGACTCGAACTAGACTAGACTATACTAGAATAGAATATCTTTATTGTCATTGTGTAACCAAGCTGGCAGGAATAGCCAACACTCCAGAAGACAGGCTTAGGATACAGGAGGACCTGGACAGACTTGAACACTGGGCGCTATCTAACAAAATGAAATTCAATGGTGAAAAAAGTAAGGTTCTACATTTAGGCAAGAAAAACCAAATGCACAGGTATAGTATAGGGGGTACCTTGCTCAATAGTAGTAACTGTGAGAGGGATCTCGGAGTCCTAGTGGACAATCACTTAGATATGAGCCAGCAGTGTGCTGCAGCTGCCAAAAAAGCCAACACAGTG